ACATATTTTTTGGTTTACTGCCTGAGATAATTTATTGTGCCAGCCTGGCCGATAAACGCAAATGGGATTAACTGAAGGGCAGAGGGATAAACGGCTTGGTGAGCCTCGCCTTTCTTGTTTCTCCCTCTTTGATCATCAGACCGGTGTGTGGCTGCCTTGATTGTTCTGTGCCTCAATTGACAGGCTACACTATCTGTGGGACGCCTAGCCTGTGAACTGTGTTGCTGTAAGTTGAGGTCCCTTTAAGACATCTCTGGAGCTGAGGACTGGCGGTTGGGGACCTGGCTGACAGATGGTGACCTGCCTTGTGGTTGGTTGCTGTGCTGAGATAGCCTAGCTCTCTCTATATATAGAGGAAGACCTGGCAGCAGACTAGACTTGAAGGACTGCTAGTGTCTCACAACTCTCTCTCACGGGAGTGAGTTGCACTGAGCCATTTATACTGCTTTATAATTTAACTGTTCATTTATTGTAGTATATATCTATCTGTATATGATTTAACAGTTCATTTCTTGTGTTATGTATCTAATTATCTTTATAAATAAATATATTAAATTATCAGCAATTTGGTGCTATCTCTCTAGAGAACCCTAACACACTGCCCCTTCTCAGGAACAAAATAAATGAACAAACAAACAAAAAGCTACTCAATGACCTCCTGGCAATTAAATATTTGTCCTATAGCTCATCTCTAGAAGAAAGTATAAGGATCTTGCTCTGTAGCCCTCTGTCCCCCTGGATGCTTCCAGCACCACCTGCCCCCATTCCCAGGGTGGTACCACCCGCTTTGGGAAATACTGGTCTTAAGCAATGTCTCATAGAAATTAAAAAATAGGGTTGGGATTGATAATATTAAGACAAGGCTCTTACTGGGCCAGGGATGACACTTACACCAATTAATATAACACAAATCACAATGGCAATTATCTAGATCAGCGGTTCTCAACCTGTGGGTCTCCACCCCTTTGGGGGTCAAACAACCCTTTCACAGGGGTCGCCCAATTCATACCAGTAGCAAAATTACAGTGGTGAAGTAACAACAAAAATACTTTTATGGTTGGGAGTCACCACAACATGAGGAACTGTATGAAAGGGTCGAGGCATTAGGACGATTGGTCTAGATCCTACTTTGGTGAGTGGCAGCTGGTGTCTTTAAAGCTCATGAGCACCCAATTCTACCTGACAAATTGATTAGATCAGAACATGCACACTGCTACAGATAAGAGCCTGAAACACAGTGAATCCAAGATAGACAGACCCCTCAGGGCCAACAATGATAGTAGAGATGCCAGGAGGATAAGGGTAAGGTGAGGGAGGTGGTGGTAAAGGGGGAATTGATCACAAGGATCAACATATAACCCTCTCCCAGGGGACCGAACTACAGAAAAGTGGGTGAAGGGCAACAGAGGATGATGAAAGATATAAAAATAATAATCTATAACTTACCAAGGGTTCATGAGGGAGGGTTGGCAGGGAAGGGAGAGGGGGGAAATGAGGAGCTGATATCAAGGGCTCAAGCAGAAAGAAAATGCTTTGAAAATGATGATGGCAGCATGTGTACAAATGTGCTTGACACAACGGAGGATTGTGTGGATTGTGATGAGATGTAAGAGCCCCGAATAAAAGTATTAAAAAATCTAATTTAAAAACAAAAAAACAAACAAACTTATGAGCAGCCATCTAAGGTACAGCTTTTGGTCTCTCCCATCCAAAGCAAAGAAGAGTAATGAGGATGGGCCAAGAGACCACGCAAACAGTCCTCACAATCCTGAGACCAGAAGAATTAGATGGTGCTCAGCTACCACGACCACCTGCTCTGAAAAGGATCACATTAGACAGTCCTAGACAGAATATGAGGAAATGTGGACCAGACCTCAAAATCATAGAAGAGGACAGGCTTACTGGTCAGATTGAGACAGCTGGGACTCCAACACTATGATCCATAGTCATCTTTCAACTCTGCCTCAGGTTAGAATAATCAGCCATTTATGATAAAAGGGCAGTACTAAGCCACGGACCAAGTTCAGAGAGATAGGGAAGAAGAAATGATTAAGACAGGAAACACAAGAAGGAATTGGGGCAGGTGGGCGTACATTGTAGGAATTGCATGGGATGAGTTGAAAAACAAAAGGTGTAAGAGTTGTTGATTGTAAAACCTATCTGCTCTGTAAACCTTCACCTAATCCACAAAGTTTTAAAAAATAAAATGAGATACATTATTTTAGTAACCCACATACTTTCAGTATTCTTGGCCAACACCATCATTCAAATGCATCAATTCTTCTTTGGTCTTCCGTATTTGATGTCCCACTTTCAATGACCATGGAAGCCTCATTCAAGAGATCGATGATACCAGGAGGGTAGGGGGAAGGTGGGAAGAGAAGAGGGAAGAAACCGCAGGGGAAGGGAGCAGCAGTTGGTGTAAGTTATGAAAATAATAATCATTTATAATTTATCAAGCAGTCACGAGAGTGGGAGGGGGAGGGAGGGTAAAAAGAGGAGCTGATACCAAGGGCTCAAATAGAATGTAAATGTTTGGAAAACAATGATGGCAACATACGTACAAATATGCTTGATACAACTGATGTATGGCTTGTTATACGGGCTGTAACAGCCCCCAATAAAATGATCTTAAAGAGAGAGATCAAACGACACGTTGCATTGGGTAAATCTACTGCACAAGACTTCTTTAAAGTGTTGAAAAGCAAGGATGGTACTTTGAGTACCAAGGTGTGCTGGACCCATGCCTTGGTAGTCCTAATTGCCTCACTGCTTGTGGGACCCTGGTCACGGAGTGGGTACATGCTAGGCTGCAATCCCAAAGGTCTGCAGCTGGAAACCACCAGCTGCTTTGGGGAGACAGGTGGGACTTTCTACTCCTGTAGAGTTACGATCTCAGACACGCACGCGGCAGCCCTACTCTGTCCTCAAGGGCCACTGTGAGCCAGTCAGTCTGGCCTTGATGGCAGGGAGGGTAGGTTTGTGTTTGAGTGTTCATATGCATGTGAAAGGAAAATGAAACTTATTCAAACAAGGAGGGGGCTGTTTTAACTTGAGGCCAAAATTAGCCCCTGGAAGAATGCGTGGTTAAACAACCCTCAGAGTGTGGGCAACCTCAGAATTTAACTAGTAAATGTACTGATTATTTGCTAATTTTAGAAAATGTTTAAGCGCGTAGCTGAACCAACCCCTTGTAACTGCCTTCCCCCACCCTCCCTGCCTGGGAGCACACCAGCTTTGTTGGCTCCGCCTTTTTAAACCTTCCCTGTTCTCCCTGATATGCTGAGCTTTGCAACAGCCTGTGTCCGGCATGAATCTCTATGAAAGTGTCCCCAGTTTGCAAACTGTTTTCATTCCATCACTAAAACGCTTTGTTCTTCATTCTCATAGCAGGCAAGCCTGGTGTCTCACTACCACGGAGATGACAACAAAAGTACGAACAGCAAACCACCAATTAGATCCAGGGAAAGGACTTTATTTTAAAAGCAAAGAGGTGACCTACATTTGGGGGAAAATTGAGGGAACCACCTAACCACTAAGGATATGCAAATATCCAATATGTAGACAAAAGCCCTACAATTCAACAACCTAAAAGACCATCAACTCATTCAAATAATAGACGCAGGTTGGAACAAATATCTCATCAAAGATGCTGCCACAACCCTAAGCAAACTCAAACTCTGACACAGAAAACCAGGTTACTTGTGCTTTATTGCCGGCGTAAGGCATCTGACTGTGTGGATCATAACAAACGATGGACAGTATTATGGGAAATCGGAATTCTAGAACACTTCATCGTGCTCATGCAGAATCTGTACTAGAGCAAGAAGCTATAGTTCAGACAGAACAAGGGAATGCTGGGTGCTTGAAAATCTGGAAAGGTGTGCGTCCTGGTGGCATCCTTTAGCTGGACAGAGGCAGAGGCAATGTGCAAAGGGCTTTACACAATTGATGTATGTATGGATTGTGATAAGAGTTGTATGAGCCCCCAATAAAATGATTGGAAAAAAAAGAAAAGAAAAACCTACAGGGGACGTAGAGACCCGTTGCCTCACAAGCCTCTTCAGCACAACAGAAGGTGAGGGCAGGTAAGGGCCATTTCCTCATCGTGGAAGAGACTGGAGATAATGAAAAGGCTGGGTGGGAAAAGACAGGAGGGTCACACTATCTCCAGATGCCTGAATAGACCCTTGGGTTGGAGCTCTGGGATAAGGGCACAGCATGAAGTATGGGGCACAGAGGTGTAGGGATACACATACCTGAGGTCTACTAAAGAGAACCAGTCAATAGCAAAAGCCCTGCCAGAAAGCCAGCCTGTGATGGGAGGTCCACCATTAGTGAAATAAAAGCTTTTTGGATTATCTAAGGGCCCTTTCCCAAATATTCCCTTCAATAAATTCACCCTTTCTGTTCAACCCTTTTCTCTGACTCTGGTCTAAATTTTGTCCCTTGCCTGAAATCTTTCTTTCAAGGGGGGACAAGAACTGAGAACTGGAGAGGTTGAAACCTTGAGCCGCCTCCTGGTAGCATATCCTTTTGTTAGGTAGGCAGGATAGGGATGGACGGGCTTGTCCCTCCCATGCCTGCACAGGCCCCCCCATAAAGGAGGTTAGCCACCCATGAAGACTTTAACTGGGCATGCTACAATTCAGTCCATCCCAAGCCAGGTGGGCATCACACCTGGACAGCCCAAACTAGGCCCAGGCTCATGGCTTCCACCACGCTTCCCAGCCAGGTTTGAAGTACCCTGGCCCCAGGGTATTTCTTTGTACCCCACTTCTGTGCTAGGGCCCTGCTGTGGTCTCTCAGGCCTCAGGTCACCACATGGGCACAGCAGTCCCCTGAGGCTGCCCGTCGTCAGCTCGAATTCCCCACGGTTTGGCACGCTTCCGGGAAATAGCTGTCCTCTTTTGAGACTAAAACCCGAAACTTCTCCCATCCTTTATTAAAAAAAAAAAAGTCCACTTGGATTACACACCAGGCTTCAGCGTGAATTACTTGTGCGAAGCCAAGAACTGAGGTGTTACCCACCTGAGAAACCCATCATTTGCGGCGCCGTGTGACTCGGAGGTGACTTTTGGACACATAAGGTAAGCCCGGGAACGGGCGCACAGTTCCCTGCCTCATGGACTCTCTCGGGGCGTCCAGACGTTCACCCCAACACCCTTGAGACCTGGAACTGGGCGAGGTGAGGTTTGGAAAACGCCGGGCTGCGGGAGGGGGGAGGGGACCTTTTGCTCCCAGACACAGCGGTCACATCTGGGGACCATGCCCCTGGGGCCACGCATAACGTGGCCGGAGCCCTCCCCCCCTCCCGGTGCGTTGGTCTTTCTATCCCCCGTGGGTTTCCTGCTTCTCTGGTGGGCTCCGTCTGCCTTCCTGCTCTTCCGGTGCCTCTCAGCTTCCCCCAGCCGCGCTTCCTGGCATGCAATTGAAGACGCCCGGTCCCCAAAGCCCTGATGACATCCAGCGGTCCACTCCGAGGTCCCGCCAGCAAAACAGCACTCGCGCATGCGCTGCCTGCGCCCTGCCGGCTCCGCGGCCACCAATGTCCTTGCAGGGCGCCGATCACGTGGTTCCCCACGCCCCCGCAAGATGGCGCCACCCAGTGTCCGGGCGCCTGATGCTCTGCCAACTCCTGCAGGACGGCGCCCAGAGTGCCCGCCACGTGGTGGGGGCGGTACTTAGCGGGCTGGCCCCGCCCAGTCCCCTGGTGGTCGTCCAGGGTTTCCCCACGGATTCCCCATTCCCGCTTTTCTCCTGGTTTTACCAACAAACTGCTAGGTCCTGTTTGGTGTGTTGCTTTAGCTTCGTGCCTGTGTGCTGGTTCGGTTTTCCCCACTGGCTGTTCTCTGCTGAATTCCCGACGAAAGGCAGGCCCCTGAGTCACTGCTAACTCTTGTCATGCATGGCTTTTCAGCACCACTGCCTTCGGGCCCCGGGGGGTGTGCACGTGCCTGGGACAGCTCCACTGTGACAGTATGTGTCCAGCCAAGGATCCCAATTTCCCTAGAGTGGACCCTGAGCCAAGTGATGGGTCTCCCTCCCTTTCAATGGAAAAGGTCGCTCAGGCCAGTGGTCACCTTTGAAGGCGATTGGAAGGCCACTCCATTGGTCTTGCCTTTGGAGGTCCGGTGAATTACTCATGCCAGTAATTCCATCAGGCCTGTACGGTCGGTCACCCAAGCCAGTGGCCTTTGCTGGCTGTCTAGAAAACAGTCAGGCAGTCCAGTTTGCTGGCAAAGACTGGGTCCCCTAGCCCCTCCTTCAGGCAGGGGCACCTACTCTTGGCCCCAGTTCCACAGCACCTAGCAGCATGAGCTCAAACTGCAGTTAGGACCCTGAGGCATTGGGCTCTCCTGACTTCTCCATTGATGGTGCTTTCTAGATGGGTATGAGGATCCACGTCAAAAGGAAGCCTGCTACATTATCTCCTGTGTAATTTGGATGGATTTAACTGCAGACCAGGGAGGAACAGAAGTTCATCTCGTTTTGCAACACCATCTGGCATCAGTACATTCTAGGTAACGGGAATCCTGGCCAAAGAACAGCACCTTTCCCTTTGGACCTTGATTCAGCTAGAACGCTTCTGCAAAGGGATGGGAAAGTGGGAGGAATTCTCTTATGTTAAAACCTTTTTCCTTTTGAGAAGCAGTAAAGACTTTTGTGCCCAGTGTACCAAGGACCCCCTAAGGGGCCCTGAATCTGAAGGCTACTCCACCCCCAGCTCAGCCACACCACTCTTAGACCCTGAACCTGGTAGGAAAACAGGTGACCCTGCTAAAGTTCTACTCTTAATAGAGATAGCTGGGGAGTTTGGACTGCAGGCAATTCACAAGCCTTTCACCCTAATTGAACTCAAATTGAGTGACGTGGGAACTGAACATTGAGAAAACATCCCAGCCCAGTCCAGATCAACTCCATAAATCCAATATTAGCTCATATGTCCAATGCCAATCTAAGAAGTCCTCTTCAGACTCATGAAACACATGCAAAGATGCTGAATGCAGGAAGATCACAGGCCAGTGGGTGGGAAGTCTTGTGGATCCAGTGGCGTTGTAAGCATCTCAGTGCTGGCAGGGGTTTCCACGTGGCTTCTCCGGCTCCAGAGGTCTGGCCAGCTCCACCAGCCTCTCTCCATGTGTCTTCTTCACAGGGAGTAAGCCAAGTGAGAGAGAAAGAGTGACAGAGTCTCCTGCCTCCAAGGAGGAATACAGGAGTTCCCAGAATCCTCAGGAGAAGGCCACGCCTACACAGAGGCCTCATTGGCTATGTACTGATTGACAGGCTAGACTCCACCCCTTCACTTTTAATTCTTTCAATTTGACACCAGATTAGGTAACTACCACTCAGATGCACTGCCTATTTCCTAAGTGGCTCCTTGCCATCTTATGTCTGAACAAGCCCCATCCTGACATTACCCTGTCACTGGTCTGCAGACCCAACTGGCAGTTTATATGTCCCCTCTCTAAGAAAGCTTGTCTCTCACTTTCACATAGTATAAACCTTGTTCTTTGTCCAAATCCTTTAGGCAAAGGATTTAGTCCACTTAATTATTGTGCCTCGGGTACTGCGGTTTCATTTTGAAGGGCCGCAAGGTTCACAATTCAAATTGTTATTTAAACTCCTGATAAACCTCTTTATTTTTCCTTGAAACAGCATGTAAGTTTTCTTTTTCCCTCAATACCATATCTACCTAGAAGACATGAAAGCAGAAATGCAAACAACCTGTACACCAATGTGCATAGCAGCACGTCTCACAATAGCAAAACAGTAGACCCCATGGAAATGTCCCTCCACTGATGCATGGATAAACAACCTGGTGTGTGCATACCACGGAATGCTCATCAGCAACACAGAAAGTAGCCCTGAGGCACAAGAGGAAAAGCACCCCAAATTAAGGTTGGGCTCCTCATAGGGGCCAGCGGCTCCGCTAAGGTCTGAGGGTAAAATCTCTGTTTTGAATCAAAAGAAGCCTCTGCATCAGAAGCATGACTGGTCATTCACGTAACCCTCCACTTTACCCTGAGAAACTTACTTAGCAAACAACTTCAGAGAACAGAGGGGTTTTGCTTACTGGAGAGTTTCGCTTGCTACCTTGGAAACCACATCCCAAACCATTCTGAGAGCAGACGCTTACGCACAACAAACTGGGAGATGATGCATGTCTTCCCTGTACACCCTCCTAACGCAAGGAGGGGGCGTGACTGTTCAGAGGTCAGATGTGCCCACTTGGTAACTTTAAAAAAATGTTAGACACATGTATGATCATTTACCACTCAGGTGTACCCTCATCCAGTTTTGTAACCATTCCTGAAATGTCCATAAATCACTACATTTTTACCGAAGTTCCTTGTGTGGTTTGTTTGTTTTTAATCATTTTATTCGGGGCTCCTACAACTCTTATCCCAATCCATACATCCATCCATTGTGTCAAGCACATTTGTGCATTTGTTGCCATCATCATTTTCAAAACATTTTCTTTCTACTTGAGCCCTTGGTATCAGCTTCTCATTTTTTCCCCTCCCTCATGAACCCTTGAGAATTTATAAATTATTAATATTTCATGTCTTACACTGATCGATGTCTCCCTTCACCCACTTTTCTGTTGTCCATTCCCCTGGGAGGGGGTTACATGTAGATCATTGTGATTGGTTCCTCCTTTCTCCCCCCACCTTCCCCTTCCCCTCCTGGTATGGCTACTCTCAATATTGGTCCTGAGGTATTTATCTGTCCTGGACTCCCTGTGTTTCCAGCTCTTCTTATAAAAATCCCCTGAATGGTTTCCACCTTGAATCACTTAGTTCTGAATCCCCTGGGCTCTGTGATTCCCAATTTGAAAGTTGCTTTACCTCTCAATATAAGCTTCTTTCTTTCCCTGTTTCATCTAGATCCTGCCACTTTGCTCAAAAGGACACACACCACAACATGGACGAGCCTTGAAAACAGCAAGCCAGGCAAAAGAAGTCCATTGTCAAAAGACAACTGTCGGCTAGGATCTCACTACAAGAAGCAGATATGTAGGAGCGAGCTGTGATGGTGACTGTTCGGAAAATTGAGGTTTCTAATTATAAACATCCTTGAAAAATGAACCTGAATTTTTTTTTCTTTCTCTTTTTCTCTCATCAGTATGCTGGGTTTTTTGTTTGTTTGTTTATATGGGGGGGGTATCCTTTAAACTGAATAAGCATTTCTGAATAGGATGCCTTTTTTCTGAAAGCTTACCATCTGAACACTGGGCTTGCGGAAGGCTATGCCTTACAGTGGGCCCTCTAAACCATGAAGGACACAAGTCAGCCTCCATGGAGTTCTTTCTGACCACTGACTGCTGACATGAAACCCGCCCCCCTTGGGCAGAGTTTGAAAAGGTGTGGCTGTGACCTCTCGGGCCAGCCCTGGATGGAGATGAAGGTCCGAGTCCTGGCTGAGAGGTCAGAGAGCTCTACAACCTCGCCTGTGAGAGTGTGTGCCCCCCAACCACGGTCCTTGTCTCGCTTCCTGAATGCTGCCTGCAACGGCAATGAATCCACCTGCCGCCAGTCATGACGTCACGCCAATGGAAGTGAATCCTTTGGACGCCATGATGACCTCCTGCAGTTGGTCTCCCTCCCCCGGACGGTTCCTTTTTGTCGTCCTGTTTAATCCCTAATAAAGAGGTCTCTAGAAAATATCTTCCAAATCAAACCAAACTCACTGCCATCGAGTGATGCTGACTCACAGTGGATGCCCCCCACGCCCCCACCCCAGGGGTGTCCAAGGTTGTAAGGGTTTGAGACGGTAACTGTTGAGCGAAGCAGAAAGCCCAGTCTTTCTCTCTCGGAGCTGCTGGTCCTTTCTAACTGCTGTCCCTGCTGATGGCAGCCCAACGCATAACCAGTATACCACAAGGGCTGCTACAAAATATATTAGGGGGCTCATTTTCTCCTAAAATAGTAGTGTAACCAATGGAATACAAATCTGTTTTCCCTGGTAGATCTCTCTCTCGGGCATCCAGGATGGACACCCAAGAAAGGAGTGTTTTACTCTACCACAGATCTCATAGTAACACGCTTTGGATTTTTGAACCTGTGTTTCAGAGGATCTTGTTAAGACTTCTTAAGTCTTGCTGTGCATTGTGTTGTGTTGTTTTTGTCTGCTTTCCAGCAGGTTACTCCAGGTGATGGGAGAAATGCCTTTGATGACCTCAGGAAACCTCCAGGGACAATAGCAAATAAACTGGTCAGACACGAAAATTTGATTCTGGGTTGAAGTGTTGGCTTATGGACAAGGACAGAACAAGGACTTTCTGCTCACTTAGGGAAGAACAGTCTGCCTGCTAAGGGAACAAACCAAGGTCCCTGTGAGCCCAAGCTTGGTAAATATCTTCAACTGGAAGCCAGGTCCTGGTACACATTCCAACAGCGAACCGTAGCCTGAGATAACCTGAAAATGCTGGCTCAAGAGCCAATGCCAAGACGGATTTGAAAGAAAAGGTGCGAGAGACCCCAAGACAAACTTAGTAACTAATTAGGAGGAGGCCTGGCCATCTGTAGGGTGCAAACCTGCCTTTAACAGTGCTCCTTCTCAATTCTCAAGGGAGACCAGCTTCACAGGCACATCTGACATATTTATGCTTAAGGGGTTCTCACCTTGACCCAACCCAATACTTTAATAAAACTTTAACTCTTTGCTGCTGTGTGTGTGTCAATGTGTGCGCGTGGCTGATCCTGGGCTCCTTACAGATCACACTAGTTCCCTCTTGGACAACAGCACTTCTGTCTGAAGACCTGTATTTAATCACCAATGGGAGAGTTTGGTTATATCTGTACATTTGTAAATGTCAAGGAAAAACTAGATGTAAAATTATCTAAGGGAAAACGCAGGCAATGATTCTATAAGTTTGTTATTTAATCTGACTTCAGAGGTCTGGGAGCCCTGGTAACTAAGTGAGTTATGCACTGGGCTGTTAACAGCAAGGTCATCAGTTTGAAACCTTGGGAGAAAGATGAGGTTTTCAACCCCCTTAAAGACGTCCCTCACTGACATGTCTGATCAGAACACAAGGAGCAAATGAGGAGGGAAGGAGAGTGAAGCACATCCTGGCCCACCAAACCTTGACAATATCCTTGCTCAGAGCAGCCAATGAACAGAGAGGACCACATGGCCCCCCATTACAAGACACAACATCCCTCACTGACCCATATCCCTACAGGGGACAACATTGGAGACACAGTATGGGAATTGCGCCCAATCTGACCCCACCACACCAAGGCAAAACACTAAGGGTGTGCAACAGAACAACAAGGGGAGCAGAGCAAGGAAGTCCTGAGAGAATACCAAAAATAGACTTTGGGGCCAGGACTTGGCACCCCATCAGACTCCACTGGAAAACACTCCGAAAGGTCAACAAACAGATCATGAACTATTTATAGACTTTTCTTCTTTTTTTGGTCATTTTTTGTTTGTTTGATTTTGTTGCTTTGTTTTGCTCTGTCTTGTTTTTTGTGTGCATATTATTATCTCTGCTGGTCTATTTAGATAAGATAGTTGGGATAAACAATCTGGAGGAGAACACAACTGGACCAACAAGTTCCAGGGGGACATGGGAGAGGGGGAGGCGGAGGAAAAGAGGTGGTGTTAACAAATCCAGGAACAAGGGAACAAGTGACCCAAAATCTGTGGTGAGGAGGGTGTAGGAGGCCTGGTAGGGCTTGATCAAGGGCAATGTAACCCAGAGGAATTACTGAAACCTAAATGAAGGCTGAGCATGATAGTGGGACAAGAGGAAAGTAAAGGGAAATAGAGGAAAGAACTAGGAGGCAAAGGGCATTTACAGAGGTCCAAATACAGACATGTACATTTGTAAATATATTTACATATGATGATGGGGAAATAGATCTATGTACATATATTTATAGGTTTAGTATTCAGGTCGCAGATGGGCATTGGGCCTCTACTCAAGTACTCCCTCAATTCAAGAGCACTTTGTTTCAATAAACTGGCATTCCATGATGCCCACCTTCCCAACACAATCACTGAAGATGAAGCAGGTGCATAAGCAAATGTGGTGAAGAAAACTGATGGTGCTTGGCTATCAAAAGATATAGCAGCTGGGGTCTTAAAGGCTTGAAGATAAACAAGTGGCCATCTAGCTGAGAAGCAACAAAGCCCACATGGAAGAAACACACTAGCCTGTGTGATCCTGAGGTGTCAATGGGATCAGGTATCAGGCACTAAAGAACAAAAAATCATATATTTGTGAATGAGGAGTATGGAGTGGGGACCCAAAACCCATCTGTAGGCAACTGGACAGCCCCTTACAGAAGGGTCATGGTTCTTTAATGCTTCCTCCTTCCTCCCCCCACTATCATGATCCCAATTCTACCTTACAAATCTGGCTAGACCAGAGGATGTACCCTGGTACAGATAGGAACTGGAAACACAGGGAATCCAGGACAGATGATCCCTACGGGACCAGTGGTGAAAGTGGCGATACTGAGGGTGGAGGGTAGAAACGGGGAACCGATCACAAGGATCTACATATAATCCCCTCCCTGGGGGACAGGCAACTTAAAAATGGGTGAAGGGAGACAACAGACAGTGTAAGACATGACAAAATAATAATTTATAAATTATCAAGGGTTCATGAAGGGGGGTGGGAAGGGAGGAGAAAAATGAAGCTGATACCAAGGGCTCAAGTAGGAAGAAAAAATTTTGAGAATGATGATGGCAACAAATGTACAAATGTGTTTGACACAGTGGATGGATGTACAGATTGTGATAAGAATTGTATGAGCCCCCAATAAAATGATTTTTTTTAAAAAGACATCCCTCACTGACCCATAGTGCTACGGGGGACAACCATGGAGACATAGTGTGGGAATTGCACAATCTGACCCCACCACACTGAGGTGAAACATTAAAGGTGTGCAACAGACCAGCAAGGGGAACAGCAAGAATAAAGAAGACAAACTCCCTGCCAGGAACTGTATTTAATCCTAGTTAACTAACGTATCAATTTAATGGTTAACATCTTGGTAAATGAGCCTGCATTTTCCTTCTTCTTCTTCCCCTATCAGGATACCGGTGTGGGGCTTGTGTTTTACATTGAATGTACTAGAACTGGGAATTTTAGTGATCACTTAAGGGAATAGGAGTTTCCATTTGTATCTTTTCTTTCCCCTTTAAAGAAAAAATGAGGTTAACATTGTGTACAGTTGAGCAGTAGTCTGTTTGTTTCCATCAGGCTTTGTCTGCCCTCCTGCAGAGTGTGGTCCAGCTTTGGGGGAAAACCTGGGAAACAGTGCTGGCCTTGACATTGGATGGGAGTACTTCTGCTCTCCAGGAGCTCTGGGTCACTGAGTTTATGTGCATCTTGGGGAGGGGAGCTAACAGGCTTCTCAACCTTTTGACCTTTTGACCACAAATCTCACTAGTCCAATCCTTCACTTCACTATTCCTAAGTGTTGCTGCCTGACTTCATGTGTGGCTTTTCAGTGGAACCGCCAGATCTTGCAAGAAATTTGCAGTCTGGCCATTCCCAGACTGTTTTGGAATACATAGTGATCATTGATAAGAGGGAACTCCACCTCTAACGGTCTGGCTGGATGTCTGCTCATACAGTAGATGTTGGCATGTGATTGCCAAGAATACTCCAGAAAATCAGTGGCAATCTGTAAGGAAATTTTCCAATAATTTTAATATAGGTTAACAACTCAAACAGCTTGTAGCTACTTGTGTGTGTGAGCTGTTTTGCACTGGTTGTACTGTTTTAAGAATGTTATGCTAGAGTGACACTGGGCCTCCACTCAAGGACTCCCTCAATGCAAGAATACTTTCTTCTATTAAATTGGCATTCTATGATGCTCACCTTCCCGACACAACCACTGAAGACAAAGC